ATGCATACATATACACACACACACACACCTACACACACACATATATATATATATATATATATATATATATATATATATATATATATATATATATATATATATATATATATATATATATATATATATATATATATATATATATATATATACTCACATACACATACACATGTATAGTTCATTAAACAGAAATAATATTAATGGACAAAAAATATAGTTAATTAATTAAATATATAAGAATAAATACTATGGAATAAAAAACAAAAATGACAACGATGCTTTTGGCCAAACTAAGGTAAAAGGAAAACAACATAAAATCTCCATGATATTCTATAAATACATAGAATGTAAAATAAAATCTCGATACATATTATATTATACAGTGAGCACGTAAAGGTTGGAATAAATTCCGTAAAATCGTTACAAAGCAAGTGACAAAAATTCGCTCAGACACGTCGATTTTTAAATTCATTTCTTAATTTGTTTATTTAAAAAAAATTTTTACATACTTTTTTTTAAAAAGTTATGATGTCATCGGCAATTTTTTTTAAATAGCAACTCCCATTTTTAAAAATGTCATTTGAAAGAGCACATTTTTCTGGATACAGTACGTGGATATCCAGCTATTTTTATATACTAACAAAACTTCGCCCATATGTTTTAAATTATACTTGTCTACATTATGCCATAATCTAAAATGTTTCTAACTTGACACAAATGTGAAATTACTGTTTATCATTTATTTTTAAATTAGAAGATGATTTGCATGTAATAGGGTTTGCCGACGTATAAAAAAATTAAATTTTTCAAAATTGTTAACAAATAACGTATAAATAAAAACACCTTCGCTGATCTAAATTTAGATCGTGGCAAAATTAGATTAGTTACTTTTTTTTATTTATTCTGGAAACGAATTAATTAATTACATATGCTTTAATTTAGTTTTCTTTTGTCCTATATGTTATAAAATTTTGTGTGGATTACTTAAAAATAAGAAGTTTGTTCTGCATGGTTCTCATTTATTTGGTACTATTTTTAGGACAGTATTTAATTCGGTTTTTGGAGATTTTATATGAATATAATACACGAGACCTTTTATTTGGAGAAATTATATAAATTTTAGGTTGTGTTTAAATTCACATACAAACAACTTACGGTATATCGACTGAAAGATTTACTTCAGATAATCGTTGAATTAAATGATAGAACATTAAATTTTAAGGGGACTGCTCTAAACGAAATGTTACATTATGTCAATTAAAACTCATAGCTAAGCCCGTTTCTAACAAATATATCACATTAAGCTAACCACAAGTCCATTCTCTGACCTCATTCCACTCAGCACATATTTTAAGTGGAAATAAAACTCGAGTCATATTATTAACATCAATATACAGGGTGTCCCAATTGTGCGTCAATGTTCAATATTGGCCTTATTAGAACACTTTGGACATTTATTTTTTAAGGAAGTGGTCTTCATGATCGAGTGGTAAGGACGCTTGCCTCTCACAGTGGAGTCCGCGGTTCGATCCCCGGTGAGGAGTTAGGATTTTTTCTAAACCAGAAATTAATCCTAGCGTACTCAGACATTGGCTGTGTGTCCGTTGTCTCTAAATTTGTAGCCCTCTCCCACAAAAGGTACCTTGAAATACCTTCAGGAATACAGGGAGTTGTATACCTGTCGTCAAAAGGTGCTCATTTTAAAAATATTTTGAAATATGCTGGGGTGACTGCTACAGCGGAACATTTTCGAGTTCATTCATTTTAAATTCAATACCGTACATATTCTTCCACTTTTGAATTCAGCGTAAAGTTGCCATTACAGCTGCCTCCAGATTTTTAGTATTTGATGTGGCGTTGCCGAGTTGTTCGAAAAATATGATAGTCTTGGTCGAAACAAGGTTTAACAAATTAATTCACTGTATGTATACTACTATTAATTGAAAATATGTATTTTGCAGTTTTGTAGGCAAGGGCTGTACTTCAACGAGACTACCACCAAATATTGATTATTATCATACAGGGTGTATTTTACGCTAGCGCTAATTTAAGACATTTCAAAGTGCACCTTGTATATTACTGTATTTTTGAATTGGCACGTTAATTTTCTACAATTTGTGATTAATGTATTATAACTAAAATCGATATTTCTAGAGATATTTACTTTTTCATTGCGAACCGTTCAATTATTATACTTTTTATTACTATGATCTCTTATCCATGATTACAATAAAGTGAGAATAATTGAAAGTTATCTTATTGACGTTTAATTATTAACTATTGTGACAACAATATTGAAACTTATTTTAAGTTATAAATTATTTAAAAATTCACACTTTTCAATTGAATTTTCCTATAGAAGAAATATTCTGGGTGCGAGAGATATAAATTGTTTGCCATCAGCTCGAATTTACGATTTGCGATATCCGAACATAGGTAGCCCTCGACGAAATAATTTAAGTTTGATGGAACGTTTTGATAATATATTAAAAGTGGAATATGAAAAAATTAAACGAAAAAAAATGTAGCAAATAAAGAAAACGAAACAGTTATACTTTTGAGCTTGACTGAGATTCCTCATTGCAGTATAAGAAGATTGGCAAGAGAAATCGATATTAGCCGTTTTTGGTCCATCAGATCCTAAAAGACTACAAATTTCATTCCAACCACGTTCAACTAATATAGGAACTAATAGATAGGGAGTATGAAAACCAAATACAATGTTGTCAATGGGCACAACAAAAAATAGGATAACGAAGAAATTTTTCTGACATCGTTTTGCAACGTTTCATAAAAGTGGATATGTTAATCGTCATAATTTTTATTATTACGACACAATCAATATTTACATTTCACGGACAAATAGTCAAACAAGATGGTTGTTGAATGTTTGAGGAAGAATTGTTGGGGATTATTGTGATAGGACTACATTTTTTATGGACGTGTGAAAGGTCAAATTTATTTGGAATTTCTATCAGATAACTTGGGAGAATTACTGGGAGATGTCCCTCAGGTATATTAGGGACAGAATGTGGTATCTACATGATAGAATACTTGTGAAACACACTACAGCTCTTCACAAACATTTAAACGACGCTTTTCCAAATCGTTGGATAGGAAGGGAAGAACCACATATTGAGCCTGCCAGAAGCCCTGATTTGACCAAACTGGACTTCTTCTTGTGTAGCAATGTTAAGGAGCATGTGTCTACAATTCCTACAACTACAAAATAAAATAAGGGAAGTTTTCAGAATATTACTGTAGATATTTTAAGAAATATCAGATCATTCGAAAATCATATATAGAAATTCATAGATGTACTGGGAGGTTACTTTGAACAGTTCGCATAAACATTAAGTATTATTCATTTGACTAAATTAGGTTCAAAATAGCTTTGAATTTTTAAAATATTTTCAATTTTTGTATTATTTGATATTGAATTTTTATGTTCCTATTATTTATTATTTATTAATATGTATGATAAACATGCCATCATGATGCATCCAGAAAAAAAATTGATACTACTTTCAATTATTCTCAATTTATGTCAAAATCATGGTCACTAGATCATTAAGAAAATATCTGATGTGGCCAGCACATAACTTTCTTATACCAGTGTATATCAGCCTAATTTAAAAAAATCATTATATTTAGTTCTTCACTTACCTCAATTAAATTTTAATAGCATACCTTGAAATGTTTCATTAACATTTTTAAGTAATTAATTATCAGCGTCATTCGATACTGTTAATAATAATTCGTCATACATTTTAAAAATTTCTTCTCATTAACATTAACATTTTTGACATTGACTAAATTAGACATTCCAGATAGCAAATTGTTAAATTTATCTTAACCCCATTTTATGAGGTCAAATGTGTAAAAAATTTCAGTTTACTTTATTTAAGTGCTTGGAAAATATATTTTATTGGCTTGATATAGTAGACATGATTTATAATCTTTCATCAAGAATATATTTTTTTGTAAGGGCAAATACAAAAAAGTTGGGCCCCGTGGACCTTCTTTCAGTTGTCAATTCTGCTCATTACCGAATTTATCATTGTCTTTGGTCTTTAGAACATGTGTACCAAATTTGAAAGCTGTATCTCAAAAACTGTGGCTGCTATCGCGATACTACAGACATGCCGACAGATTTTTTTTCATAAAGTTTTGTTTTTTCATTATAATTCGTCGAGATTCGTCCAGAAATGCAATAAAAATCTTAATTTTTTTTTTCCAGAATTTGTACCATTTTTCTTTATTCATTCATTATGTTTCTTCTGGTGGTACCACTTTTACCAAATTTAATGTGTTACCTAAAATGTTATTGAAAATCTTAACTGCCAAATTTGGGAAGCCTCCCATTAGTATTTTTGAGTTCGCGGATACACACAGCCACACACACACACATACACACGCACACGCACCGACAGACACGCACCGACAGACATCATTCTTAAAACAGTCAGAATGGAGTCAGTAGGGTTCAATACGTATATATCAATCAGAATCTCGAGGTCGAAAAAAATCACGATTACTATCCTTCCTTATATTAGGTATAAGAGAATAATAAAAGTCTGTTTTTATCAAACATTCCACTTAGAAGTTTCATTTAAGATATGAGTATATACAAAAGTAATTTTAATTATTCTACACTCTAAGTGAAATTTAATTTGAAAAGCTTATACCTAGACCTCGTTATTGCATGAAACATCTGCACTGGATAATTAAATTCTTTCTGATATATTCTCATGGAAATTGCCTGATAGAAATTTATATTTTTCTGATTTATTGAAGCGTCAAACTACAAAACATGATGTTAATTAGAGCCTTAATTAAATTACAACGTTCTGTTACAAGCACCCAATTTGCGTAAAATTTAATTACAACAGCTCAAAAATTAACGACTTAATAACTCTTTATAATAATTCTTTATTAACTACGCTAAAATGTGAGGTAAAATTTATTTAGTATTGGAAACAAAACATTTTTTTAATCTTAGCAAGCTGATTATACCACTAAACATTACACTGAAGTTTCTTTTAATCTATAAAGAATCTGTGTTCCTAAATTACATCATATCAGAAGTAGAAATAGTACATGGCTCTCTAATTATTTATTTATGACAGTATAGTTGTGCTTTTAGAAACAGAATTTGCTTTTAAATTGCTTGCTTTTCATTACTAGTTGATTAGAATCGTTCTTTGCCAACTCTAGCGTTTCGCACTCATCCATTTTACTGATCACCTTGTTTCTTCATAGTACGATTTATTCTCTTTAACATCTAATCCTGTTTATAGTTTATCAAATGCAAGATCTTCATTTCAAAAATAAAACATTGCATAAGAGACCTAAGGTGTACATATCTAAAGTTGTAAAATTTGTTTCACGTAATACTATCTTTAAAAAACGAATCTTGTTTGACACTGGGTAACTCCGGATTACATTGAGATACAGATTTGAAATAAATATTTTAATACTAGCTAAAAACATATTATATTGGACCTCCGTTATGCAAATTTACTATTCTTAGCCTATGTTTAATTCGTATAATTGCCTGTCTGTTTAAGTTTAGGGGCACTTCTGACTTCTTCTATTTAAACATTGATATACTCTTTGAAAATATAAAATATGTTGCTGAATACTTAAATGTAATAAGTGAAAATGAATTTAAATCAATAAATAAATACATCAGAGTCACAGAACATCCTAAATCCTATATAGATCATACTTTTTTGAAAACTCGCATAGAATAATTTGGAGATATTTCTGTAGCAATAATTAACGGACCACTACGCAGTAGGTATTGTGATCAAAAATTTAAATACCAAATATTACAATGGGAACTAGAAGAACACTAAAAAATTTAATGACACCAAATCAAAGAACTTTTTAAAAAGTGAGATCTGATCTCAGAGTTATTTGTTGAGATAAATTTAATCAATTCGTTACTAAGTCTGCCAAGAATTGTAACGGCCCTGGTTTTTCGCCTTACCATTTTAAAATAGTTAAACCAAGATACAAAAAAAAGAAATTTAATACACAAATATATTTATTCAATTTAAAATAAATTTGGGACTCTTTATCTCCGGGCGGGGAAGCGAGTAATTAACTAAAACAGTTTTCCAATTGTACTTAAAACTAAACAAATTTATAAACAGTTGGCAATCGCCAATTTAACTAATAGTTATCGTCCAATATACTGAAGAGATTTTTTGTTAGGCGCCACCCTCTTCTTAAAATGTGATTTCACCAAAGTTCTGGCTAATCGAAACTTACTGTTATCGTTAAAAAAAGGGAAAAACGGGACACTAATTAAAACCGCCTCTCGTGACGTTTATCCTTAATTTCGAAAAAGTCAAATATATGTTATACTTAAAGTTCAAAAACGCTGAAAAATTTGCAAATCTTGAAAATTATTTGTTGCACCCTAACGAGCACTTCCAGCAGACACCGGTGGACGTTGCAGCGTTACTAGGTACCTAGTCTTATAATTTAGGAAAGCTGACCTTACCCGTGGTTGTGCACAGATCCAATATATTTT